CCTCATAAGATTTCGTTTCTGCTTAATAGATAGTTTTATTTTAACAGTTAGCTTTCCAGTTCATGTCTACATTTCTTCTCATTTCAGTTATGATGTAAAAGGGGGTATTTAACAGAATATACGGGCACAAACCATTTTTACAGGTATAAATAAGTTTCTGTATGAATTACATGTATCTTCATGGAAGGTAATCTCAAACCCCATCCGTTGTCACTAGAAGATATAAGTACTGCATGTTCATGTAATGGAACATCCCAGAAGAATAAGTGTGCAGAAAATTTACAAGTTGGACAAATGGAAGTATTGTTTTCGCATTAACAAAAAAACCAGGTTTGTATCTAGACATTACATGCATTACCTGGAGAAAAATAAAGCTTGAAGTTTATACTTCCGTTGTAACAGTTTGTACTTCTTGCTTGAGATAATGATGAAAAGTTTATGAGTGAATGTATGCACGAATTGTTCACCTATTGTACTTCATTGATGATTCCAGGACTGTATAGTTCATACATGTTAATACCATTCCACGACAAAGATTCATAATCTTGATGAATATTATGACTGAGAGCCAGATATCTTCACTTTTCCAACTCCGGCACCCAGAAGCAATAGATTTGTTTGAATGCGCCGAATGGACTTCCAGGACATCTTGTCCGCCGTTTTCACGGGTCGTGACAGCCTTGCGGTTGGTAAGTGTTGGACCTTGCTGGTCATTTTACAATGAGTAAATAGTAAATTTTGATAATTGTGAAGTTGTAGTCCAGTGAACATTTTTTATTTCTGCTTGTTGTAGTTAGGTATTTTGAACGCGGTTAAACTGGTTACCCTCCATGAAGGGTAGTTTCAGCCATGATCTGTTCCTTAAATAATTAGTTCTCGATGACAACCAAGCCAACGTTTAGAAATGAGTTACTTTTCTTTTTATAACCTCAGTTTTATGCTAATTCGTATTATTGAGTAGTATAGTTCATGTTTCCTTATAACGTTACTTATTCCCCAGCCTTGACTGCTCCTTTGGTTCATTAGTATCCTGTTTATTTTATGTGATATCCCTAGATATTGGTGTCTTTCACAGTTCTTTTCTTGTTCCCTGACGTTCTATTTTAACGCGAACATTTGTTTATCTTGTGTCCTCACCTCATTGTAAGAACTTACGCGCGTCTTTCATACTCCCTTCTGACTGCTTGGACACAGTTGTGCTGTTCTTGTGGTCGACGCACTCTTTGTAAAGTGCTTTCATAGCGACAAACCCTCAGACACCTCATGATTCTAGAACTGTGGATTCCTTTCTGAGAAAGTAGAACCAAAGTGAACAAGCAACTTGCCAACTCCAAACAAGTTGACCGCCTAAGCAGTACACTGCATGACCTTAGCGCTTTAGAGAGTACGCAACGTCCATAGCCGTAGCTGTCTTCCTCTTGACATTCTCCGTGTAAATGACAGCGTCACGAACCGCAGTCTCTACGATCACCTTCAGGACACCATGAGTCTCCCCATAGACCAAGCCAGGTCTCGTGTCAGTTTGCACTGAATTAGTCAGTCAACTAGCTTATCTCTCTCTATCTTGAGGAATATCTGGTTACGATAAAGGTGGGAAGGGTTTGGTCATCTTGTCTGTTCCAGCGCCATCCAAAGGGACATCCGAAGTTCTAACGACGACTATTGAGAGTTTGGTATGGTTGGCTTCGCAGATACACTGGGAGCCGATAACAGCGTAATCGCTCCTGCCTGAAAGCTGAAGGTTTGGTAGGTTCTCGATCAAGAATTCTTCCTTAGAAAAGGTGCAGTCTTAGCAGGATAGGGTTTGAGTTGCCGTTCATCATGTTACTGTTTCCATATTTTCCGTAAGCCTTAGTTCCCCAGTGAGACTGAAAAAAGGGTTTCACTGAAATCACCACTCCTACTAAACGTATGGTCCGTAAAGTTAAACGTTCATGGGTTAAAGCCTTCTAGGATAAGTCTGTGCGTGTGTAACAGTCTAAGAGAGCAACTAGCTGCCTCTAACATCCAGTCATCGTAATATACGTCAGCAGATAGCTCCCTCGAATGACTCCTGCCAAGCACTGTAGTTCTGGACAGCCTTATGGAGTACCAGATGTTCTCCCCAAGGTAGTTTAATGCTCAGGTGTGGATATCGTGACCTGTGAGATAAGATCTAACGTAAAGTGCTACTACACCCCCTTACCAGCATTCACGTCGTTGTGAAACATCGTGGTGTTAACAGCTGCCAGTTCCTGATCAGACGTGTTAGGAAAAACCCATATCTCAGCAACAACCATAAGATGAGCATAGTGTGTCCTAACTTAGTTCCCGCAGTTCATCGAGCTTATTCAATAAACTTTGGGCATTTGCACGAACACGATTTATACCATTTTCCTGGGACACGCCTCCTGAGCTCCCTTCATTTCATAACTGACTGGCTGAACAATCCAGCGTGAGGGCTTGGAACCTACCTAAGTGTGGCTTGTGAGTGTAGTGTTCCCCATACTCCCCCGTTCCTGCGTCCAGGAGGTCTTTTAGAAGCACAAAAACTCCAATTTCTCTGTTTTCTTTGCAGCCTCTTGTTCTTCGACTTGTCAGGCTGCATGCGGGCTCTAGGTGGTGGGCGATCCCTGTTCGCCTAAAATGCCTCCAGTATGGATGCTGCCGCTTGAGATGCCGAAAATATCACTTTGATCAGTCTTTGTATGAAGTCATCATCTTTCTCTGTGTCCTTAAGACTGTATGTAAATATTCCGTTGTAGCTCACAGTGTTCTTAAAGAGCACCCTTTCACGGGAATCTTAAGGAATCTCGGTACCGGGGTTCCTAGGTATGCCTTATAGTATCGGGTTTCTTCTCCTGAAAGCATGCCTTCCGACTATCCCCAAGGGTTTCTTTATGGCCATTGTCTCGGAGTGCTGGATATCTGGTAGCACCCTCCTTTCCTCTTCAGCTTTTGGCACGCGAGAGGATAACGGCACACCCTCGACATCATCTGAGTCGGAGAACGTCAACCCTGAGGGGTTATCTATGATTATTGGATCAGGACTGCGTCAGAGTCCAGTTGAAGTGATCGGCCCAATTTTGTTCAGCCCAAGTTAGCTGCACAAGTTTTCCACAGAGCCCTGTTCTTTTCACCTTGAAGGGTGTATGGGAGCTCAGGGCTATTTGTCAGGTTCATGACAATAATAGAATCATCCCGGACAATGGTTTATTCCATCAGCTGTTGACGCCCGGGCGTTTTTTGCTGAACTTTAGTTTTTTCTTTAACTTTGACGCTGCCTGTAGGTAACTCATTCCCCGGGACTGTGTTCTGCAGCACTCCACTATGCACCAACTTTTGAGAAGAGAGTTAGGGGTTCATCCTTACTCTTTATCTCCTGCCAACAACGAACCTTCCAATTCATGTAAATAAACCGTTAGTGACTCAGAAACTTTCTAGTTTCCTGAGCAACCCGGTATTAGGGATCTTGTCGAACGCTTTACTTAAATCTACTTAAATGACATCCGAAACTATCCTGTGGCTTGACGTACCTCCTTCTGGCTATAAGAAGATTCCTAAGGCAAGAGAAACTACTGAGAAAACCATGTTGCAAACGAGATAACAGAGTATTACTCTATAGGTGGACGGAGATGGCCTCCGTAATAATTCTGCCCAGGATTTTTACTACAGAACTAGTCAAGCTAACTGATCCAGAATTTCGTGGATGCTGCCTGCAGCCTACTCTATAACGTCCTTGCAGTCACAGGGGTGTGCACTCACACAGAAGAGCTGCCTAAGTGCAGTAACAGTTGGGTCGATTACCTAGATTACAATCTCTGTGAGCGGCCGTGAGCACAGGTCATCTGGCTGATTGGTTTCTCCATCTTCTGGGTACTTGATGTCTTAAGTGGATCCTTGAAGTCAATGTCTTCATAGTTTATTCTGCTGAACGCTAACGCCCCTACTGTTTATTTCATGTTCATTAGAGGTTCTTGAGCAAAACCTCAGAATAATAGCCTGCCACAACCTCTACTCCGTCCTTATGGCTTTCAGTTAACTCTTTAATTCCTGTTCCTTCTGTATGGGTTGGGATATCACGGCGCATTTGACTCCCTTAATTTGGGCAGTGAACCAGCTTCCTTTGAGTGTTATACTAGTGTCTGCACGATACACCTTTCACAGAACATTCCGACACTGTGGATTGCTTTGATCCATCTGTTCGGGAATACATTTGTTGCGGACACTCGACTGTATGTGTATTCCAGCCGGAATACCGCTACGTTTTTTTGGCACTGTAAACATGGCTAATTCATCAGTGTTGGACACCTTAAAAAAACAGAGGCCACAAGATAAGATAATGCCGTATGCATTAACTATGAAATCCGCCTCAAAAGTCGCAACCAGTTAAATATCATTCAAACGTGGCACATAACTATCGGACATGCACTTACAGCCTTGATGCTGCATGAGGAAATGCAAATAACGTACAACATCAACACTTCGCAATTCTTCACCTCAGGAGTACTAAGGTCAGCGGTAAGGCTTCAACACTTTCGTTTATAGCAGTAAAATTCCGGTTCCTCAACTTATTTTAAGAGGATGGTGTCTCGCTCCAGTCAGGCCAATCCACAGGACGAACGGTTCAGTCATTCCAGTGTGGAGCTGCTTCTGGCAGTACTATGCAGCCCCGCTAGGGGCTCTCTGGTCGGCGTTCAGTCCTTGAAAGGGACTTCCACGCGCTTGGCAACGTAGTGTTTCGCACGCCCCAATGCCCTGTGTGATCGCATTTATAACATACTGTAGCAGTTACGAGCCTGTTGACATCACTTTCCCGCCACTTCCATACGTGGGTCACAAAAGTGAGTGCCAAATAGATTTAATCGTACACTCGGCTCTTTAGGACTGTGTATGCATTACTGATCTCGTTTTCTTGACACATAGCATACAGTGAGAGACACTGGGGATCATTATATTTGGTAGATAACAAATGCAGTTACTGTACCTAAACTATTTTGTTTGTCAGGATTGCCAGTGACATTGGCGCGTTGCATGAACTTCTTTTTGGAGGTAGGTTTTGGTTTCCGTGTTGCAAGTGTTTCCGATGTATGTTATGGTGGCTAGAAAATGTTCGTTTCGTAGGAAATTAATTTAGTATTGCTGATGGTCACACTATATGAATGAAACCATGACTTCCTTGAATTTCAAGGGAGACTGGTCATACATCTGGACTTAATTAAGTCCAGAAGTGCAATTGTTACGATCAGCTGGTGATAGCTTTTCGTCTAGCCTGTAGGTAGGTAGGTAAGTTCGTTGTTGCAGGGGGTATATGAGTTTAGTGGTGATCATGAGAATCTGGAAGGGGGAAGACAAACGTGGGCCTACGACTCAGCAAGTACATAAGATGTACCCAGCCAGCAAACACTTTTAGCGCACTTTGAAATTTTTGGGCAAAAGACGCGGAAAAACTTTCTAGTTACTGCATACAAGACGTCCTCGTTCCCAAAATTGTCAAAAGTTTCCCCAAATATTGTCAGAGTACGCCCAAATTGTCTGCACTCCACCTAAATCTGTCAAATTCTCGGCAGTGCTTCCAAAGCTTCACATATGAAGCATTATGATAGGTAGTAAGTAGTGTGTGTGGATAAAATCTACGTTTGTGGATGCTAATTCGTTTTATACGAGATCTATGACTGTTTATTAATTTCCTGAAGACTGACCTTGCTAAGTGAAAATTATTTTTGAGACGTGCTTAAAAGTTCCAAACTACGCTCAAAGTCGGTTTCAGAAATTCCTCAAAAATTTCATGGTGCACCCGAAGTGTTTGCCGGCTCCGTACTTGTACTTAGTAGTAAAAGATATCTGACAAACGGTAATACTTGACAACGAAGAGGTGAGGCAGTTTAGTAATCGAAACTGAAAGGTGAATAAGTAAAGTGAATTTGAATTTCTCTTGCAAGTATTGCACTTCCTTAAGTGCACCCTCAGTTTTATATTGCGGTTTTTACGCAAACGAGTTCTAGCTTGTATGCATCCTTCACCCTAAGGTTATTGTCTTTGTTGTCCATAGAATAAATAATGAAACCCAACTATAGTGCACAAGAAGCGAGATATGTTATATTTGCAGTAGATGAACCGAGCCAATACTCAGCATCTTCGTACTCTGGAAATTTCTGGCATCATTCCATGCGGTCGTCAAGTGTACTAAGGGACTCTTGTGTGGGGAGTTGAAGAATGACGACCAGATTTTAACGATCTCAAAAATGACCTTTAGCCATCAATCAGAATTCAGATGTGAAAAACGCGCTATAGCGCTTACAAACTGCATAGTTAAAAACGAATCACTTATTTAGGGTGTTTTTATAAAGCAACATCCCCATCAACACTTGTTGGGTCAGACGGCAATGTTGGACCTCTTACTGTGGAATATGTTAGACCTGACGCTGGGCTCTGGAATATTTCCCCTAGGTCTGGGTTGGTTTTCCCATGGTCTGCGTTCGGCTTCATGTCTTTTATATTTAGCTCTAAGTTTTTACAATTGGCTCAGTGTGTGGCTCGACGTTGTCTGTTACGAAGTACACTTTTGGTCACGGAGGTGGAAGGATAATAAATAATTTGTTTGAACAGCTTATTCACAAACCCATCCATTTATTTTCTTTATCCTAAGCATTTACACTGTAACAGCAACTGTCTTTCACCTCATCAGTTGACACTGTCTCCGGTCCCTTGTCATGAGTTTATTAGGAAAGTCAAGAATGAATTGGTTTTGCTACTTTGTACCTAATTCTTCGCATTTTCTCAACATTGGTCACGGTTATGAGACTAAGACAACATTCTAATTACATGTTGCCTTTTGTAGTCATCAAGATATGACTATTGTGACTATGAAAAATGAATTGTATCTGAAACAATCTAGTAAATAATAATGTCCCACTACGTAAGACATAATAAATCTACTAAAATGGAATTAAATTGTGCCACTGCTCGAATCCTACTCTTACGTACTTAAGGATGTTGTTACGGTGACGAAATACAATAATTACTCAAGATTATGATACCATCTGCCTTCGTAAGGCAGACATATCGACACCTCAAGACTTTGTCTAAATAGTAATGTGAAATTGCACAGAATATTACTCGCTACTGTCTTTGTAATCTGTGCTTACGCACTCACTAAATCCAGTTCAGAAGGAGCAGAGAATGAGTTCTACTAAAAACTGTCTAGCTTCCTAATGAATGCCAGACGTTCAGACGTGATTTTTGTTGCAGGTGATTTCAATGCACAAGTGGGTAGACTAAGCTTTCGTGGCACTTTCGGAATCTTAACCTCACACATGGTAACGGGAACCGTGTGCTACTTCTGTGGTCAGACAGCCACGTATTTCTGGCTAGCCAGGACGAAATTCATACATAAACAGAGACGTTTTCCACGGAGCTCCAATCACCGGTGGCCAGAGACATATTGGCATCAGTTATCGGTGGGTGGACGATGAAGGGTAAGCACTCCTTCTGGAACACTTGTTTGGACAGTCACCATGCTTTGGCTCCAGTCCCTGTCTTCCTCTAAATAGACGTAGAAAAACTACAGCAGCAAGGCCATAGTGAGTGCAGTTCAACGGTGATAACAAGGCTGCTTTTAGGGGGAAATTAGCTAGACAGTTATCAGAACTGAACAGCAGGACATGTCCACAAGAGGCCCGGCACCATCTCCAACCTGCCGTAAAAACAGCGTTGAAGACAGTAGCAGACTCTCATAGAGTGTTTAGAAGGAGCCCGTGGGTGATGAGGCTCTACGTTGATTTTTGCCAGTCACTTTGTCACAGTGCATTTCGACATCTTCAACAAGATGCGTCATGTAGTGACGATTGTAAACTAGATGTACATCTCCATATATGCAAGCAAAATTATTGATGAAATGCTTCAACTGCAACTGAATTACATTCGCAAAAAACAAGTAATACTTAGAATGATAAAGAGGGAAAATGGAAGGTATTTTCTTAAAATTCCTCGATATAATCGAAATCGAGACCCACTCAGCAACTTTGTTCACATCCATGCAGTAGGCAATGAGCCACACTTATTGTGTGAGGGCTAGTGATACTACCTGGTTGCTCGACCTCTGTAGGTGGACCCGTGGACCTCTGGTTGAAAGTCAGCTCCTTTAACCAATGAGCCACAGCTACACATACGTTGCAATGTGAACTGCCGATTATTTTTTCACGAATCTTAGTTCTCTTCTTTACTATAGGCCATTCATTTTCCTACTTGTGGATGTAATTGATATTTACTTAATTATTTCTTCTTATGTATGGTTTTAAATTTTGTTGTTCTGGGAGTACAGTGTAATGATAAGAATGTCATCAAGTCATCTTGACAACTATTGTGATGATATTTTTTGCCTCATCAACTAGTTATTACACTAAAATCATAAACAAATACACCTGTGTCTTTCTTTATTCTTGCTTCAGACTATTCAGTTTATTAATTCCTTTGGTTGGAGCTTATTTCTATTTTGGTGCAGTCGAAAGACTGAGTAACCTATTCAGAGGTCTATAAAATATGAGTTCACGTTGGAACGAGACTGGCTGGTGGGCTGACCAAGAAGGTTTGTTATTTATTCGACTAAAGTATCTTCAAAGAATCTGAGCTTTCGTATGCGCGTGACAAACTAGATTCACTGCTGCAGGTCTTGAAGGATGATCCATCCAAAACGTATGGCTGTGCTATGCTGAAGCATATACTCACGGTTACGTAACTTTAGGAAAACTAGTACTAAATATAAAGATGAGATGACAGGTCGGAGGGATTCTTCAGAGAAAGAAAAATTTAGAAGCTCATTCTTTAAAGTATCTCCAAGTGATATTAAAAGGAAAAAACGACGAGCACCTTCTGAAGAAGAAGAAACATACAAAGGTACAACTTCCTCATTCTGACTTTTTAGAATCATTCGTGATCAAGGTTTTCGAAAGGAGTGTAGATTTTGGGCAGTTTGGTGAGAATGCGCCTTTGTATCCAATGGCTAGAGCTTGGATTCGTAATTTAAACCAGGGAGATTCTTCATCATGGAACGATGTACCATGCGTGGAGGATGACCAAGAGGTATCGCATTTTAATTTTTCGTTTGAATACTCATTAATTCAATTTTGTAATGCCATTTTATGCATAAATCACAAATACCTTCAGGATTATGGAAATGTCGAGCTCCTAGTCAAATTTATGAACCAGATGCATGGTGCATCGTACAAATGATGTGTATGTAGAACGCTGACGTACTTCAGACTAACAAAACTAAAAACACTAGTTCTTCTACCCGTAGGAAACATACATACTAGTTCAGTCCTACGCACTTTGCTTGTCAACATCTGCCCCCTAATGTGTCGTTTAGTTGTAGTGAGTCTGTCTCTAGTGCGTTGATTGTGTTATACTGTTTCTGAAAATATAGTTTTCGCGTCCGATCTGGACAAGTAATCTGCTGCTACATTTTCCCCTCCCTACAATGGGCTCAAAAGTAGTCGCACCTTTACAGATGTCAAGTTCATCGTCTACGCCGGGGTATCACTGTTTTCAACAACGGTAAGGGTTTATGCTGAATCTCAATATATAATTGGCGACTCATCAAGTTAACTATTCGCCTGCCTAGCACCCAAACGATAACTTTTTTCTTCAATCTGTGGGATGCTTCTGTTCTGCAAGCATCAGGACACTGCTAGCATACTGCACAGCTTTATCTGGCTCTCGGGCATTACTTAGCAGTTTACACAGGGGTGTTTAGTGAATCGACTATAGGACGCTGTTATTTAAAGAACCGTTTTGTTTTCGAACTAAATGTGTTTTTATTAGTTACAATGGTTTTATTTTCCTGCCTCCTGCTTTGTAACAACAGCATGTCACTGCTTTGGTTATCCGTGACTTACTCTTAATTTGTAGTCCGAACTCTTCAATTTGCTTTGAAATAGCTTCCATGTGCTCTGAACGATCAATTCTCGTGTGACTGTACACAACCACATCGTCATCATACACCTCGATGTCCCTCGGGTTCTGGCGTGATAATTTTCCAGATGTTAAGTAGGCAACTGCCAGTATGAATGATATTTCTTCGAACTAATCTGCTGCGTACCGATAGATCCCATTTTGCTTCGATCGCTCCCCTTTGTTGGCAGTTGCCAGTGGTCCGATCGTAAACCCAGAACTGTTCACATCTTTATGTGCTGTAGGCGACTAGTATTTCTGCCACTGTTGGAATTGTACATTGTTTGATTTTTGTTGTCCTCTGAAACTGGCACAAAATCTGTACCATACTGCAAAATATTTACACTTGCAAAAAGCTAGTTCTAATGACTCATTTTTATTTCCTGTTTGGTCTAGAACAATGATCAACTTCCTGACTGTCACTATGCATTACCCAAACCGAGTGATGGATTGACTGATAATGATATTCGTATACCGCCTCCTCTTCCATCTGATGGGCAACCTTTTATTGTTAATATTGAGGTAATTGACGCTGTTTATGCTTAATGTTTGAAACGACTAGAATCCGCCTAAGGAAATGTCTCCTGAAGGATTACTGGAACAGCATATTGTTCGTTGGAGGGAGATTCGTAGAAAGTAAGCACGGCTTTTGAATACTGTACTTAAATGTTCTATTTCACTTTTTCCTCTGTAATCTCATGTAGCAAAACAAACTGCCTGTGTATTACATTTAGATAACTGTTATCGTCACATTATTCTCTGCTCGGACGTGATTTATGAGTAGCTTATGTCTATGTTGCATTGATATGATTTAATTATGAAGAGATGTAGACGAACTGGCATGCTATATTTACAAACTGATGACTTTTAGGGCATGTAAACTAATTAGCTGCTATGGGATATTGGGTCTTCTGACCCCCCCTGAAGTCGCTGTTTCACTAGATAGTGATTGTTTGAAGAAACTTCGCTTCACTTGGCCAGGGAATATTTTTCGAGAGTGGAGGCGAAACCATATTTAACAAAGTGACAGAATTGTTCAAGATGGAATGGCATAATGCATGTAGAAACCATCAAGGTATTAGTCTGTTAGCAGTAGTTATGAAAATATTTGATCACTGCATACCTTACAGAATACGAGGAACCCGTGAAAGCAGGTCGTAAGAACACAATGACATACCCACCAGGAAATTGTCGCATTTCGCAAGTCACCTAAGTATATTATATGACACTAAGGATACTGTTTCCTAAGACAGACCTACACCCTAGAATCATCTGTCGAGTAAAGATTTCGTCAGGATACTTATTAACACCCTGAAAAAACATTACCGCAGTCCCTTTTAATCTCTGAAAGCCAACAATATGACTAGACAAGACCGCCTGATTTTGCTTACTCCTTTTCAAATGACAGTTGGATTTAGTGCAGATGTAATTCAGACTAAACCTACGTATGCGGATATAGTATTTACTGGCAGCAAGCAGTTCAGGTTACTCCATTTGTACTCAACCGATGTATCCGCTCATTGCCTATTGCGCGAATGTGCACAAGGTTGCTGAGTGTATTTCGATCCATGTTCGCACAGACCTTTGGTTATGAGTTTGTGTATCTGGGTAGCTGTAGGAGTGCTGGTGATGTGGGAGGTGAACCCAATCTTTGTACAGTAAAAGTCAGAGTTCATCAGATTTAAGACCGAAAAGTTGATAATGTAACAGTATAAAACATCGTCTACTCAAAATAAGTATGTTCGATGGATTTCTACGTAAGCAATCGTAAAGTCAAAAGGTGAGTTTGGACATAATGCAGCTCGTCATTTTGTAGGTTCACCTCTTTACACTTTATGGCTGGTCATTTTAGGTAGTTGGCTTTCAGCCAGTGAATTACAGGTTCAAACACCGCTCCTCCTACTGAGGCTTGAGCAGCCATGTAGTATCACTAGTCCTCATACTAGGTGTGGCTCACTGTATAGAGTGACAGTGGATTTCGATTTTTTTTTTCACCGTTTTCTGTTCAGCTAGACTAATTACAAACAGAGAGATATTCTTTTTTATGACGAGGTTTTTTAAAGGATGAACGAAAGTTCTATTAACGAATCACCACTCCCTAGACTAGAGCTAAGGGCTGATGAATTGCAAACATATCTTGGCGAATTCCTTCCGGCATGTGATTGAATACTCTCTCATGTGAAGTCAGCTGAGTACAGAAAATCTCCACTAAACAACCTTGAGCTTACACAAAAAATCGAACCATATGTTTAGCTTCTTGCCCTTGGAACTGTATTAGTATTCAAAGATCATGTGGTATCTCATTAGCATTTCTTTGAAAGCATGTTTGTCTTATCAGAGTATCTTGAAAAGATATGCCCTTCAGTTTTAGAACAATATTATGGACACACTAAAAATACTTTCCTTCTATTTTCAGGTGGAAAGCTGCCTGCCGGGACAATGAGGAACGGTATTTGGATTCCTACCTCATACTCAAAGAGACATACGATAAATTTTGTAAAGATATCCCATAGGCTTTATAACACATTAAAAGGCTGTGTTAAATTCTATAGAGGCAAGCATATATTATAAAAACATTTCTCTGTTAATTCTGTTGTTTTACACCATCGTATCCAGCCTTCTGTACATAACTCATCAATGGTGGGTTCATCATTCATTCTGAAACAGTGAGGGTCCTTAAAAGTAATGAAAACATACAAACATTGAACGAGTAGTGAGGTCACATACCTAAAGAGAATTTGGACACATCAGATTTGTAACATTTAAGCGTCTACTGAACTTGAGAGTATGACAAAATACTTCACCTTTTTTAGCGCTCTTGATTTTCTACAGTTGAATTACTTCATTATCCATTTAATTACAAATTTGGTACTCAAACATCTTTTTTGGTGAGAGACACCTTAAGACGCTTTCTAAGTTAGACTGCACCGTGATCCTATGAATCCAACCTATCTCCATTGTGAGGCAGCTAAGCCCACCTTACGGCCCATTTAATCAGTATATATATTGAGAAGATATAGCGACAAGAGAGAAGATTCTTATAAATTAACTCCTGACCAATAGGTCTATACTAGTATTTTTTTTGTAAGTAATGATGCAGTACCATTTTCTTTCCTAACGAAACTGAAAAACAGGTTTCTGAAATAAGTAATCAGTCAGTTAGGATTTTACAGAAGATGAAGATATCTATTGTTTTCAAATGAGGTTTAACACCATACTGCAAGCCAGACCAAAGTAAAACAAAAATAACGAAGAATGTTTGTAACTGAGGTGGGTGGTCCTCGTTGTGCTGCGCTCTTTGACTTGGATGGTTTAGTCGTGAATTTTCCCTTGTCTTTCTAGACCACGTCATCAGCACTAAACTTCAGTATGGGTTTCTATGTGAAGGAATCGGTAGTTCCGTCTGATGACCTTTAATTGTCGTGTCGTTGACTGGACGAATTTCCTATAGGCCCTTTCTCTGCGTAACTTGTGTATTTAATTACTTCAAGAATCAGTCTTTATCATAATTCTTCTCATTGTTAACTTCATAAGTAACTTTAAATTTGCAATTTATTCTACCCAATTAAAAACCACGAAAATGATATTGTTTTTCAAACATGAAACCTACCATATCAGGCAACTCCGTAACTTTGAGATAGCTTGTGTAATCCTGATACTTTCTTTAAAATAAGCGTAGTAGGACCTTTCACATACGTGTTTGGTGTCGATTCGATAAACAATGATTTAGTTATTAGTCTTTCTCCATTCAAATAAGTTACTTCTAAGGGCTGCCACTCCACCTTAAATAAATTCAGTAGTGGACGCAGTCCGACGAACTTGTGAATTAGAAAGAGATGCAGGAGAGCTAGGTATGTTGTATCGCAAAACTAAATGGGAGCTGAGATGTTAGTGTCCATAGGAGGCCTTTACATTTCAATAATTCTTAAGACTTTAAATCACCATATCCTGTCAATTGAAGTAGACTTGGCAAGATTTCAAAGTAACACACAGCAATAAAATTGTCTATGAAAACAGGAAGTCCGAGGAGGGAAGCCATACACATAAGATACTTAACACTTCAATAATTACCAAACTTAATTTATTAACATAATTGCAAAAATATAGGTGTAAAACTTGGGCACTGTGGTAGAAATTAATTCCATATTAGATTTGTTTATTTGATTTATAACACACACTGATCTAGTATTATTTACTTGATGACGTTTTGGGCATATGATTATGAGTAATGATTTATGCTCGAAACGTCAAGTAAATAATACTAGATCAGTTATAAATCAAATAAACAAATCTAATATGGAAATAATTGCAAAAAGTTGTAAGACAAACGCAACACTGTTGGTGGCCACAAAGATATCCATAAGAATTTCGATAGCAGCATCAGTGACGAGGGAGAATCCAAAATTCTTACTGTGTCGTCTTACAAGGTAGGTTCCTCACCAACATCATGAAGGATTCGCTTTAGGACTGTGATTCGAGTTGTGCATAAACCCACAAGCTCATAGACGAGCTTTATAAGTCGGAACATCGTATCCAGTCAATTCGGAAAGTAATTTAGGTTCACAAATCCTTTGCAACGAATGTGACATCAGACCACTTCAATTAGGCTATTTGAGCGAAGTCCGCTACCTAAGTGAAGACTTACAGACACTGATTACAAGTGGTAAACTTTGAGGTGGCTGTGCATGGAATCACATGATAGGATGTAACAGAATAACAGTCCTAAGGACCGCTTCAGTTGGTTGGAGAAAGAGTGATAACCGAATCATTGTTGAGTCAACATTGGACACAAAATGAGAATCATTCAGCATATGTTCCACATATATGGAAATTCCTACCACGCTTATCACAAAGAAGAGTATCAGGATTATACAAGCTGTCTCAAAATTATGGAGTTACCTCGGTGTAACTATGGACAATAAGTTGTCCGAGACATCGAATAAATAATACTGCCTGCTAGTAAAAAAACAAACCTAACTGGGAATATGAAAAGCGTATTTCTTCTCTGAGTTCTTAAACTTACACAAATCAGCAGCATTGGTGGTTTATTATGGAATGATTTTAGTGCAAGTATTCCTTTAGATGAGCTGTCATTCAATCCTCCTGGAAAGTTAATATACCAGGTACTTACCAAGCATAACTGGTGATCCTCTTGTTCTGAAATGATCGACAAGCGTTTCAGAAACTTTTCCTGTAAAATTACCTGCCTGCATATGGATTATTTTAAAGTCGTGCTAGCAACTCGAAGAGGTTTTCGCACTTACTTTTGTAAGGTGTTGGATTACCAGGCCGCATTCGTATGTCCCAATCCAATCATGAGAATTCACAAAAGTTTTCGATTTGTCTCCGATGTTGTACAAAATCTGTTGCAGGTCAGGCAACGTGGGTATATCAAATAAGCAATTTTTGGTAAGCTTGTACCACGACAAAATGCTTTGTAGGGTCCTGTAACCACAGCCCCAGCCCTTAATTTAGTTAAGCGATTAAAGCTTACTTGGTCGTCCAGACCTTGGGCACCATAATGATAATAACAAAAAGAGCCTTCGAAACCAGCTATCGTGTTTCCTTCGCAATCATTGGCAAGTCTTGACAGGCATGCATTTAAAGTTAGAGTCAACATGGTTCGCAGGATCCTGTTTAACATATGATAAGCATGAATTTCACTCAGTTGTCTTTTGTAGTGAATAGAAGCTTATCATTTAAGCCTAGTTTCTCAAATACGCATTGATTCTAATTTTATCCTTAATTGAGTCGTAAATAAATAAATTAGGAAAGAGCATCTATGGTCACCCAAAAAATTTTTTATGTGAACCGGAACAAAGGTTTTTAAAATGGGTTTAAGTGATTAGAAGTTCTGCTAGTGTGAAGACAATGTAGGTTGTCGAACACAGACGTTTCCGCAGTATAGCTTGGGTATGATAGAATCATCAAGTTAGAAACTCTCGGGTTAGGTGAAGGGTTTCAGGGAAGATAGTTGATAGGGTTGTTAACCTTCACCAACTGAGGTGGCTTGGACATGTGATACACATGCAGAGCTATCGCCTACCTCGACGTTCAAAGTTAGACGACGTTGGACTAGATGGTAAGAACGCGCAGGGCAACCAGACCAGGATGTAGTATCAATCTACGGAGTTTCTGACTGTTAATTTGAGCTATTTAGGGAGGTGCAGCCCACCTGGCTGGGGTCCCAGAGGCCATTAGAACCAATGGTTTAGGATTCTTGGTGATAAGGCTGAAAATTGGTCACAATGGTGAATATATATTTATTCCTTGACTTTTTCTAAAGATCTAACATCACTAACCTTCATTTTCAAATTCTTTTTCTCATACACTCGTCTAATCTGATGTCCTCGCATGCTGCTCTAAAATGCGGCACTTTGAACCAGTACACTTCTGTGCGAGGTTTGATTTCGTTTGTCTGGGTCAAGACAGTTGTTTGAGAGAAAACGCGTCGTGATTTGCTGACTGAGATTCTGCTCAAACGAGTTCCGTGCGAACTGTGCTCGTCTCTCAAAAGCATCAAATTCAGCTGCTGATCAAATATTAACTAAGACCCTCAACTACACCTTACATTAATGATGGCCAAAGCCCGTCATGATGTAGCCTTTTAACGTGTCAAAACATACACGATAGTTTAACTGATATAAACATCTTACACATACAGTTATCGAAAATTTCTAGCGCACTTTAACGAAAGATAAATAAACTAATAACCTTTTAGAAAATGCAAAGCAACTGGTCCCTTCGATAAAATTAAAATGCGTAGTGAGAAGACGAAGATTATGTGAAACATGTGATGTACTGGCGCTATACATTTCGAACAATCTGATCACACATGGACTTGTCGAACTATTTATATGAATATTTACGAAAGGGGTCACTGAAGTCAATAGGAAACATAGGGATAGGAAGGGTAAAGAAAAAAACAAAATCTTACTCACGTTACTCTTGGTATGACAACTAAAATCAATACTACCAACATAAATTCGACGTGAGTACGAATTGTTTTTGTATACATAAAGGGGGTTCAAACTTACGTATGGCGAGAGCTTCCTATCCCTATGTTCCCTATTGACTTCATTGACCCTTTTCGTAAATATTCATACAAATAGTTCGACAAGTGATCAGACTGTTCGAAGTGTATAGCGCTAATACATCACGTTTCAGATAATCTTCGTCTTCTCATTACGCTGTTTAAACTAACAACCTTCTAAAGACATGCACCAGTTAAAGTAGCCATACTTTATCGCAGCCTACAAATAAGTAAAGAACCAGAGAATAAAAGAATGAATGCTACTATATACTCGAATTTCGATTATGAAGAAGACAACTATGTTGTTGCAATCAGTTTCAAGAACTGTTACCAGGATTTTCGAACTACTGTCTCCAAAAATTGAAAACCACAAATAAGTAGCTTGAACTTTTTTACCTGGCCTAGGTAAATCGTTGGAGGCTTCATGGATTGGTGCTTTTTCTTGCTCGCTTCCAATCTAGTAGTATTTCGGTAAGCATTGCGCGGCGAGGTATTTACTGGCTAAACATGCAAAGCATTTGTGATCAATTCCGTTAGCAACCGGTCTACTAAGACCAATGTGACTTCCCAATTAAGTGAGGTCGTTAGATACTTCGACCACTTTATTCTATATTACTAGAGAGAGTTAGGGCAAACCAAGTGGTGGGAGCACTGCACGCTTTACTTGGACAGATGCACAGGACCAGATAGGTTGGTGGCTGATGAGATATCAGTTAGGGTAGTAAATCCTTATTAGCTTACAGATGAAACTTCTGGGAGAAGCATAAGGCCTAACTTTCAGTCTATGGTGAAAACTTCCTCAAAAACAGTCAGCTCCTATCCAAATTTCTACTAAGGATTGCTGTGACTAGAAAATACAAGTAACAACCCAACGGTGACATGTATTTGACCATTAGTACTTTCGACATATCTTGCTAACGCATGTTAAGGAAATCCAAGTGTGAAACTTGACCGCTGTGGTAGAATGTAGTTCCACATTAAATTTGTTTATCCGATACATAACACAGTGATGCAGTAAATAGGTAGAATTACTTACCTGTAAATAATGTTGTATCGATAGATGATTGAAACTAAGTGTACTATATTACTGTGATGAAAATAAAGCTTCTTATCTTCGCGATGCACTTCTCATACAGTGAAACCTCAGCAGACAAAAACTTCGGTGTTGAAATTATAGACACATACTTTTAACTTCTCTAATGACCATCGTCGATGCCCAGTACACTTGGAAACTAATATTCCAAAGTTTATGAATACTCTGATATTGTCGTATCCCCAGCCCAATAGGAATGCGGGCCAATGCGTTGAATACGAATGCGGGACTAATAACTAATTACGAAATTTAGACGTACTCTCCGTGTAGTATACACACTCGAAGCATAATTTACGGCTGCACGCGTAAACGCAGCTTCTATCCCGCCTTCCACTTCCCACACTACCCGCTTTATTTACGGACAATTGATTTCTGTATGAAAACGGGATCCCCTTAATGTTCTCCCCTGAAGTATGCGAGAACCTTTCTATACATTCATGCACGCTTTTCATATGATTCCCAATGAGAGATTCCATAACAACGTACAACACAGTCATATCGTTCACATACTTCCCTCAGTGTGGACAAACATCCCCTACCTCCACTTTTTTAATTACCTGTCCAAGGTCAAGTCTAGATAAATCCAATATTCAATAACTGTTTAACGAACTTGTGCAAGCCAGTTGGTTTCATCAGTCTTGTTCCTTGGTCTTGAGGATGGTTTCTAGTAATACGCGATTCTGATTGATTGTTCACAGTATCTACTGTCGTTAAAGTGTGGATAGCAACTTCAAAGCTTTTGAACTCCAGGACCTAGGTGTTCCTGTCAGGTCGTTCAGTCTTCAGTAATGATGATACTGAACCAAACTGTCCGTTTTATTCCGCTTAACAGATATCCCTCTGTGGATCCAGTTCCCCCGGGAATGCGTGCAACCAAGTGCCGAAACTAACTGCCTCTGTTCTGTGCAAGATAAGGAGACTATTTGTATCGAGAGTTTATTCCAAAAGCTGATTATTCGATATAAAGACAAGTAGTCCACGGAGTCCGTGTTGTTTGACCTGTTAGGGAGGAAAAGAGATCGGTTGCAAAGCCATATCCCAGAGTCCGCCATGGTATCCAAAGCATAATTTAAGCGCTTCATCATATCAACTAATTTCTTCACGTTCGCTTCTAGGTATTGCAGAACGGTTGCAGATATGTGGTAACCTCTTTAGATCCAGCCGCCCACCTTCTGTGGCTCAGATAAACCTGAGAGAGTTTGGGTGTTGGTCAGATCTGTAGGGAGGTGCATGATTTATCGGACCTTGGTACCGATGGGTCTCTTAATCGCTGTTTCACCAGGCAACCACGGGGAAGAAAAGGAGAGAAAACCGGAAAAGAAGAGAGGAAGGAGGGAATCCAGGAAAGTTCAATGAAGACAGGAAAAAAGGGGACATTGGGTTTTAAAAATAGGGTGAACTCGTAGAGAGTTAGGGAGAGGAAAGGTTACAGGGAAGATAATAGCCGGGGTAATGAAAATTCGAAAAGCCGTTTGAGTGGAAGAGGAATTTTCTTCTCGAAAACGTCTCCTTCAGGTCCTAAAGTTACATATGTATACTTGGGAATCATGCTATAATATTACTGAGATTTCGCTTTTCAATTTGCTACAATGTTATACAGTTGAGGATGTCAAATGAGAAAAGTCATGTGTGAACGTAAATGATAGGATCAATCGTTACTGGTATTCGACTTAGAACAATGGGAGATCTGAATGATTATACGGAGTTCGTAATACTACGAAGTGATGGTTAAAGGGAACAATAGGAAGCTGTTCGTGGCAGCTAGACGGAATAAACTAAGGAATATAATTTGAGGAATAAAAACTTGATAGAATACCACAATAAGCCAACATCTGTGTACAACATCACGACTTCAGAAGTGGAGTGCCCCATCAGTTTGCTACCAGTCGGAAATAGTGGGCAAAATCACTGAGGGTGCTATCTTCAAAAACATAGGCCTCAGAAGCAGACCTCATGACTGAAACGAGGCACTCAGTGCCTCTCAAAGGCTAATAGGAAAGCATAGCGGAAACAGAGGGTGCACAGAAACGAAGGGTCTGTTATGAAGGGTCCGAAGGGGGAACCAATCTGAATCGGAGGCCAAAGAAACTTTGTTACCACCTTTGACACGCAACTGAACATTCCAACGTTCAATGAAAGCCATCAACTACTTGGAAAATATAGCCCAGCTATTCTAATAGCGTTGAGTAGGTTGTGGGTGGGCGTCCGGTTAGAAGTTTCCCTGTTCTGAATAAGGCCGACGGGTGAAGTGTTGAAATCTCCCCGCCATGATTAGTCACTAAGCTTCTTGGCTTACATCCTGTCGTCATCATTTGATCTAACGGTCTCACAAACTTACTCCCCATAGTCTCGCTTGCTCTCCATTTACAGTAATGTAGCAGGCAGAATTGGCGACGAACATAATACACAGTATTGGGTGAAAAACAGGGTTTAAACTGTCTTATAAGTTGCCAGCATGAAGCTGGTCCTCTATCAAAAGCATACAATAATACTTTTGGGAGCTCAGGCATATTTTAGTCGAGGACAAAGTTTCACTTGTTTCCTTCCTTCCATGGCTGCTCACTTCACAAGCGCACTCGACACAAACAGAGTCTTATGGTCCGCAGGCATAGTTTTCTTCCAAGAGATGAACGGACTCGCCGGACCGTTCCGGTTGATTTTCATTTGAATGTGAAAGAGATTCTACTTGGTCCCTTGGGGTCTTTTCCTTTTCTAATAGCTTTAAATCTTGCCGAAGTTCTGGGATTTCTTCCAGTTGTTTATACTGCAACTCCTGCAACTCTGGTTGATGTTTTTTATTTACGTGATCTGCCTTTAATTCAGCTGCCATTCTAGCACTAGCCTCACTACGGTGAATAACTGGACTAATCTCCGAGCCATAACGTGAAATAGCATCAGAAGAAGCCTGCCGCGTATCTGGAGGTAGATCCTTTCACATGTCTCCTTCCTTGTCCGGAATTGATTTGGGGGCCAAATTCTTGCGACTGTCAGACACAGCAATGACGGTGTGTTGAGTACTGTAACGACAAAAATCCAATTATTTTGGTCTGAACGCCGGAGACAATTTGATGAGACCGAACTAACGCGATCCAGACAAGTTCCTGCATTTCGCCATATAGTTCCCGAACTTTCGTGAGTGACTGTCATTCGAAGATTGGCCCAACAGTATCGAGACAAGATTTGTAATGAATCTGTGGCACCATCGAACAACAGTAAGTTATATCAAAATTACAAAAATATCTCAACAGTGCCGCTGGCCAACTATACGGTTTAAGAGTTCTCTGGCACGAACACGTACCGAGAATCAATGAGAATATTTCCAACAAAATGGGATCAAAACCTCCGTGTACCAGAATCGAATCAACGAATCAAGGTTTCCAGTAGCCAGTCAAAAGATAGGTGGTCAAATCGCAGTGCAACCCTATGTTGATGCTCAAACAAGTTCTCGGGAGCGGTAGACGCTATGTGGTCAGCAGCACAGCGTAACGCAACGGCAAGATGAAGCATTCCTGTTGAGTCTCAATCAAAACAAAGATAAATACTGAGTGTAAGGTCAAAGGAGACAAACGAAAGGCAAAATAATATTGCACTAGTTTGGGTCAAAAGCGTGAGCGTAAATTATCCAAATGAACGTCAATGATGTCAGAGGAGAGTGCTCAGGAGAAGTTTCCAAGTCAGGTTTTTCCTTTTTACTGGCCGCCAAAATCCCTCCAGACGCGCAAATACACCTGTTAATGCATTCAGTCATGGCTCTGCCTACACACATGAATGAATGACCCACATATCACCAACTTCAAGATGATCCGATTCACTGCACGCATTCTATTCACCTCATCATGATTATCTTCTGATGACCGTAACCTGTTGTTCACATCACCTGCAAGATGATTCATGGGTGAAGGGGATCTGGTAACCGTCTAATGAAACGTTGTTACTTCTCGGCCACTTACGATGGAACCGGTCAAGTTAAGACTTTTGCCACAAAGGTTTCCGGGGTTATTATTTAGTGGAGGTCAGTAACAATAATAATTTGTTTCGAACAATGGATTACACGAGCACAAGCATTTTTACAGGGAATTTATGAACGTCAGTGAGGCTAAGAAAGTTCAAGAAGCATAAAAATCATCACATCACGCATAGTTTCCCAGGTTGTGCAGTTGTTTGAATATTAATAGGCGCAAGTGTTCTGTACAAACCTTTTTGCTACCAAACAGAAGTATAAAACAACAAACACATACCATCACTCAGTATGAGCGATTTTGATGAAGCCTTAGGACGTTAGTTAATGATTCTCATAGTGTCTAAGAGTACGCAGCCCATCAATGATGAGCATAAATGAAGCCGAAAGTATGCGAACATTCAGTAAATTTGTGTTGTCTACAGAGATCATGTAAAACTGGGTTTAAATGCTGGAATGAATGGGGGGAAATTGTAGACATCCTCGTGTTGAAAGTGGAGATCAGCAGCTGAGATGAGGCCGTATTTGAGGTGTTTCTGGGATCATATGTAACCAGCGCACCGTTATTACGTATATCAACAATCAGATAGGAGAAAAAGCGAGAAAGGGGCAGGTAAAAATATGTGTGTCATTAAAAGCTAGATAACCTATGGTGGTGAAAAGATAGGTCATCGACCTAATCTTTGGTTGTCTTGTTGCACAACTCTGATGTATGCCAAAAACTACTTACATATCCAGGGTGGACGATAAAGTAAAATACACAACACTACAGACTCAGCTACCTGATCAGCAGCAGCTAATCGAAACTAGTAGACCTACCACAGAGTTTTCAGTTTGGGGAGAGGTGGTATCGACCTGTGGGTGATCGTACATTCCACAGAAAAATTGACGCGGAAAGTTCAGTTTAGGAGATAAACGCCCTGATCGGACATTGGCAAATGCGATTACTTCCGAGGGAAATGAGGGGATAAACCGTGTTGGCGTCCAAAGAGCGCTTAAAAGAGTGATTAGATCGTGACTGTTTTTGTGCAACGACAGAAAGAAGAGTTTTGGCCATTTACCTCTCAGTAGGGTAACTACAAGTTCATGACTAATTAATTCGAAGGAGGTTTACGGACTGTCTTGGAGATTACTGGTCCTCGTGGGAGAAGAGACACAACATATCAGTGCCGACATTCTTGTTAGATATACTGAAGTTCTTTAAGTCGGCGGTGGTGGATTAGGTTGGGCCGGACTGCCCTCTCGGGTGGATTAAAAAATCCGGCCATCAGGTCAGTACCTACCTTATAAAAACGTTTAAGTTCATCAGCGTCCCATTCTGAATATTGAATGACTGCCTGAAAGTAATATCACAGGTGGGGTTTGGGAGTGAGTGTCCTGAACATATCCTAACCGGGGCTCACGAAAGCTCCGCCTTGGGACCACAACACATGACAGCCTTCCCCCCTAGATGTATCAAGGCGACCGGACATTTTAAGATGTGATTTGACTGTTTGTCTTTTGACTGTCTACTGGAAACGTTTATTTGTTGATTTGATTCTGGTAGACAGAGTTTTGATCCCTTTCGTCGGAATTATTCTTATTGACCGTCAGGTATTTAACAGCTGTATTTGTTAAACCAGTTTTTACCTTATAGTACGTATTTGCACCCGAGAACGTTTTGGACTGTATAGTTAGTTACCCAACGGCACTGTTGAGGCAGTTTTGTAATTTCGATATAACTTATTGTTGCTTTAATAGTACCACAGATTTTGTTACGAATCTACTATTGAATTACAACAAACCGTGTTTTGATATTTTGATCCAACCTGTGACTGTGCGTCACTCGCGGAAGTTCGGAAGCTATACAGTAGGACGCAGGAACTAGTCAGATTCAAGTCAGTGGCACCGCCTAGTTATTTCCCGCGTTCAGGCCAAGATTATTGGATTCTGGCCGCTATATGCTGTTAGAAAGTGAAGCAGGTGTCCCAGTGACCTTTGTGGTTTACCCCTGATACAAAAGTAGTCTCTTCAAGGAGTCAATGCAGCAATGCAAAAAATGTACCTCGAACTCGTTACAGAGCTAATGAAGGTCTTACGACAGTTCTGAACTCTACGAGGCTCGAATGTAAGGATATCACACGCCACCTCTCTATACGTATCCTAGCGGTGCTCTTGATGCTTTACTAACAGCAGGGTTTGACGATTTTCGGTGCGTTTGTGGGTGCATATCGTTCTGTTAACCAACAGATTATTCGAGACATGAAGATTTAGACCACTATGTTTTCAACGGTTCGTAGCATGTTCGCATACTGGCTAACCGAGACTCCAGAGTCATTAGGTGCCCATATGTCTCGTCATGTATTCGGCAAACAGGGTTTCCTGCTCATAAACAAGATCAGTAGTTCTAAATCTAAAGGGGGATAACTAGGTGCTGGTACGCACTGAAGACCACTATGCACTGGATTTAATAAGGTACCTCCCATGCTATCGCTCGCAAACGACATAGTTCTTTCTAACTCAGGAGAAACGTGCATCAACAAGTTTCTTCCTGTCAGCCCTTCCTGAAAGTTGTATGCAGCTATTCCACGTCCAAAACTAAAGCCATTATTAGAAGTTCCACTGATATTTCTAACCAGGTTGCAATTTCAATCAATTGGACCCGGTAATTATTGATACCTGAGGTCTGGAAAACTACCTAGTGTTAGGTTCCTGTGGACAGAAATAGCCAGTGATGTCAGCACTTTGTTGGATATGTTCACATATGTAATGAGGAATATAAGGAGAAAGAAAATTTTCATCATGGAGAAAAGACCTGTGCCCAAATACGCAAACCATCATGGGTTTGTCACAAAGATGAAGTATGTACAGTGCAAGAAAGGCGAATAAATCCCAGACGTCGAATTCATCTGTAAGTGCCCTTTGCACTGGAAATAGTGCTGTTACAATTTCCATATGGACATTACACTCTTGCTTTGCTTTCTGCGCCCGTTGTTAAGTCTCATGGTATTACCAGCGCCACCTTTTGCCTTTCTGAAAAACTAGTCCCTGTGTTTGTCCCACTCTACCTTTTCTCTCTCGCTGCAGTCTACCGCTTTTTCGACGTCTTTTCTTGCCTCCCTCAGAGTGCTGTTTTACTCTGCTCTGAATTGTTTAATGTTGATGTTTATTCCAGAATGTGCAGACGGGCACCATTTTACAGGTAGCGATAAATTTCCGTTTAAACTGTATGATTCTTTAAGGTCGATAGTTTCAATCTCCACCCACTCGGCTACCGGAATATGTGTTGCATGTTAGTTAAATGAAGCGTAGTGGTAGGACAAGTGTGCACAAATTGATGTGCTGGACAACTTTGAGTATCTTCTTTACATTAAC